TTTGTTTAAAAAAAACTCCTGTTTTAGATAAAATCGAAATTGATAAAACAAAAACAACTCTTTTGAAATGCATTTTTGAAATGCTTCATAAAAGCTATAGAATGATGTATTGACAATATATAAGTGTAAACAACACACGTGATTTGATTTATTGAGTACATTTAAACATTCATTTCTAAAACTGCATGTCATAGACGGTTGGTTATTTTAGGAAAGTGCCTGCTTGAAATCTTTTAAATATTAGCTGAAAAAATATCCTTTCAATTGTATAAACAATAAACAATGTATAATGTAAAGTGCACTTTTCAGAACTGTTTACACATACTTATAATAATCTTGCAATGTTGTTGAAATGTAAAAATCAGTCTAAGTATGCACCAAATGTTGAACGGTTCAAAAGGCAGTTTAAACTGCTTATTCTTCTGCCACTAAGAACAACATCTACTACATATGTTAAGTAGAAATTGTCTCTTAGATACAGGCAAGATAACTGTACTGTAAAAACAAATATAACCAAAAAAAAAATTAATGAAATTTAATTTAAAAATGGTAGGGTTCAAAACATTGTTTTTGGGAAACAGGTTTTTAAAAAAAAAATTTTTTGCAGACTTGGGGGCCCTTTCCAATCAAGGTTTGTTGTAATTTTTTTTTTAAAAGTTAAAAAGGGGTTTTAAATTTTTGGTTTAATTTTCACAAAGAAGTATAAATGTTTTTAAAGAAAGGGTTTTGAATTTTAAATGCAAAAATTGACTTTTTTTGGAAAATGGAGGCTATTCGGTTAAAAATTCCGGGGGCCTTTTGGTTTTTAAATTTTCTAATTTTAAACAGTTTGTTTAACGGAAAAATAAAAAGGGTATTTCTTTGTATGTATTGACCGATTTATAACTTTGGGTAACATTAATTTTCAACAAAATAAAATTTTTTTAAAAGGAGCGAAAAACTTTAAACTTTTTTTGTCGGGAAATGTAGCAATACCTAAGGTTTCGAAAAATTTCCTTTTGGTTCGGGGGTAACGCCGAAAAACAGAAGTTACATTCTTAGCTTTACTTTTGTGGAACCATAAAGGGGAATTCGGATCGGGCAAAATCCAAAAATTTAACTTTTTTCCAAAATTTATAAAAAAAAACCCTTCCCCCCTTTTTCCCCCCCCACAAATTTTCATTGTAAAAAAAACGAAATTTCCGCTTTTTTCGGTTTATGGGGGCGCGGACAAAAAGGGCCGGTGTGGGGGTTGGGTTTCCAAAGGGGGAAAAAACCCCTTTTTTAGGTGTTTAGCAAAATTCACTAAACAAAAATTATTAAATTTCATGTTTGGGCCCTTTTTCAAATCCCTTTTAAATACAATTCAACCAGCAGACTTAAAAAAGGGTTTAAAAGGGCTTTAATTTTTAAAAACTTTTGTACATAACCACAATTCCTAGAAAAGGGAAAAATTAAAAAAATAAAAAAAAAAAAAACCCCCGGCTACAAACGGCCTGGGGTTTAAAAAATTTATTTTTAAAGGAAGTAAAAATTTTTGTAAGACTATTTCAAAAGACAAAAAAATTTTACTGGGGGTTTTTCCAAATTTTTGCATGGGAAATTTGAGAAAACATTTACGGGTTTAAAAGGCGGTACCCAATTACCATTTTTAAAATTTTCAAGTCAACCCTTTTCCCGATTTTTTGATACGATTTTCATTACTAAAAAACAGTTTGCCTTTCATTGGTTCCCTTTTTTTTTGGGGGGGGGGGTTTCATGTTGTGGCAACAGGGAACGCGTTGTTATGTTTGACTATGATACAAAAGAGAAAGAACATCAAAACACAGTTCTTTTTTTTCGTGTTGCTAGTACTATTTGCTGAATGTAAAAATATGCGTACGAGAAGTATCGTGTAACGTTTGAAGGCACACAAACCCTATCGTTCATATCAACAAGTAGAGGTGTGTGTCATTATATATGGGAAACATTCCCTTATGTTAATTCACCAACTTTAGTTTTTGCAAATTATTATGTTCATTATCAGTATAAACGTTGTTACATTGTTACATTATATCTTAACCAATTTTGCATTACTTGAATAACCTGTGCTAGAATACGTTTTAACAAAATCAGAGTATGTTTAAATTCAACTGTAATGCAGTTGATGTATGTGAAATTTATAACAGTTTCTATATAATTTGAAATATTTTTGTACCAGCAAGAGTTACCTCTCTTTATATTCTGCTTTCGTGAAAATTGGCTCCGCCTATTGATTTTCGTCTATTTCCGTGATAATTCCATATATGGAAGTTGCAAAATCGTTTACAAATGTTAATCGCGTTAGAATGTAAAAGGCAAGTGTGGTGTTGTAAACCTGAGTGGGTCAAATTGATACAGTTAACATTCTCAACGTCATGATGCACAGAATTAAACGTATTGTGTACGTTCTATCGTTTACATTTCTACATGTCGCAAATTTGAAGTTATACATTTATAAATACAGTTTGCAATTTATCTAAGTTGCATGTTTACAGCTTCCATTTTATCAAATCAAGATAATCAAAATGCTTAATACCAGTGCAGTATGTAACTCGCGGATCGACAATTAGATTTTTACTAACCGAAGTATACATTGTCAAGTTTCAAAAGCTGGATTTTTGGCAACGAATAGACTCCATATATTTGAACATATCAGATAAGATAATGAATTAACTATTTTATAAAGCATGGCTTTTGAAATGGCATTTTATACATTTTTGTTTTTTTTTATTAAATAATGTTTGCATATACCAAATAGCCTAGCTTACAAATATGTAAACAATATCAAGGACAAGTGCACTTTCAAGGTAAAATGTTTAAAAAAAAATTGAGCGTTTTGAAATACTACAACTCATTGTTATCTTATTCTGTTGTTGAAATATAAAATCAACCAAGTATGATAACAAATATTAGATGTCATTGTTTTCAAGTTAGCAAAACGGGTGACTTCCTAAACAGACAACATATTGAGTATTTAAAAGTAAAAGCGAGACAAAAAAGCACTTAGGTCTGTGAATCGTTTGGCATTGAAAGGTTGATGACACGGGACGCTTTTGTCCCGAAAATAATGCTCATGTTACAATAACATTTCTCTATTCTTATTTCTCTCTGTTAGATTGAGATATTTACTCGTAAATGGAAAAATGTCATATCACTTTTCATTTTACATAACAATAGCCCTATTAGAATAGTGATATCGATTTGGTATTTGAATTGATATTTTAAAAGTCAAACGAATAAAAATATTGATTGCCTTACCCTATCACAGGCTTATTTCATAATTGCAAACTTTTTACATTTGTTTTTTTTAATGATATTGCCTTTTTTTAGATGTGAGATAGACATGAAAAAGCATTTTCACAGGTTGATTGGAAAACTTAGTAATGCATAAATGCATGAATGAATGAATGAATGAATAAATAAATAAGTTAATTAATTAATTAATTAATTTATTTATTAAAACAAAACACAACATTTTATATTTCTGATCAGTCAATTATGAATAATATCTGATTGATTGAGATGTATATATACAGTACATTAGTTCTAAACGGCAGTTAAAACATACAATTGCATACAAAAATAACGAAAAAGAATAAAAAACATATACATGTGTAGATCGACTAAGCATTATAAATGGAAAAATAAACCAAAAATCAAAAATATGTAAACTCTTTTTCTTCTCAATTTCATCATGATTATTCTGGAAAGCAGTGAAGAGCATGTTCTGAAATTTTGCACACAAATAGAAGCCTAGAACTGTTGCAAACAGTATAATTTTTATGCATTTCAAAATAAAACTTTCAGGCTCGTTTTTATTTTTAAATAAAAATATCGGTGGAGTCCCTAGAAAAAAGGATAAACATATGAACCTCTTTAACTCTTTGGGCTAAACATTCTCTATGTCATTGTAACTCCATCGTTGTTAACCCCGTTGTTAACTGTAAAATGTCGCCGATAACATTAGATCTGAGGTATTGTGTTTGTGATTCTTGAAGATCGTTCAGCATGACATTAATTTTGCGTTTGTGGTATTTAAGTTCCTTATATTTATCTTTTTCTGTTTTCTGTGGTGCTTTCAGTTTTTCTGCTTGAATACTGTATCATAGCCCTAAGAATATATTGCCTGCTTTTTAAGTTTGTCTTCCAAGGGATCACTTTTTTCCAGATATAAATTACCTTCAAATTTTGTTTTCAAAATTTCATTTAAATCAGTTTGGAAACATACGCTGGTTATCATGAGATATTTCACGAACGAGTCATATTTAAGGTTCCATGATAACATATCTGAAAATGTGTCTCAATTCAAAATTTCAACATTTCATACTTTAATGTTGAATGCTGCTACAGTTCATGCAAGATAGCATGAACGAGATCACAGATTTAACACTACCGTTCATGAAAAGGCTCAATCAAACCGAGTTTACAACATTTTCAATTTTGACCTTTCGGGAGTTCTTATCAATTTTGTCTATCTTTTTTTTCATGTATTATATACTTCACAAGAAGTTTCAACTAAACTGAGGATTGTCATCAAGTTCCCTTGTAAACATTGTTTTCAATTCGTTATTTGTAATTGCAAGAATAAAAACTAGAAATTATGTCTGTTCTAAAAATCGTGTATATTTATTTCTTTACAAAAGGCTCCTTGTGTCTGAGGGGTTGTCTTCCAGGGTTGCAGCATCAAAATTGCAGTACCTGCGTCGAAAGATGCGACTAAATCGGTTCAAATTACTGGAGTCTATAAATCTCTGCTTTAAGTTTGTAACACCCAAGGTAAGCCAAAATCATCTTTCCTGTTTCGGTGCCATGTGACCTAAATTGTGTTGGTGTGCTATAAAACCAATCAAAACAAATCTTTACAAGAATTATGTATATATATTTGTATCCGACCGTGATACCCTTTTTTGTTTGTTGCTCAACATTAAAAATATCAAATGACATCAAAGTGCAATGTTAAATCATCGCTTATTTACAACTTAAACATCTGATGCTCTGATGCTGCATTGTGTATTGGGTATGCATCAAGGATTTTTGGAGTCAAATGATTGCCCTAGTATAAAATTACTCTGTATCAAGGCAGTGCCTCCATCTCGCAAATCATTCTTAGCTCAATGCTACATCGGATATCTACCCATTTCAAGTCTAAAGGGAAATAAAAAGCCAAACAGTTTTCTCTTGTTCCTCCACTTGGCTCACTAATTCCCCAATCCTGGAATACCATTTGGTCATTGGTTCCGTGTTTTACCCATGCACCCTCAGTATCACTGTCTGTAAAGCCAATAAAGAAAGCGCGCACGTCATCTGAAAGGTTCAGATAAAGAGAAGGATAGAATATACATGTATTCATATCTGACAATTTAACGAACATCATACAACTTATATTTGAATTCACTACCTATTTTCAAAGAAAAGTTTACGCAATTGAAATGAAAAATAAAAGATCTTGATTGCAAACTTCATTTTATCTAATGGGATCTTGTAAATATTGGCTAAAAATAATATTTCTCAAAATACGAAACAAATGATATTTTGCAATCTTAATTAAGCCTAAAAAACAAAATCTATGAAACAATCGTTTCGAAAGGCATCAATCACAGACATGGGGAAACAAAGATTAATTTGCAGCTGTATATACCTGTATTAGCATATTTTGAGTTAATTAACGCTTTCAGATAGTTGTTCTCTTCTTCACTGTCCACTGTAACAGGGTAAGCATTTAATGCTTGACACGTTTTCTTTAATTTGAGAAAGAAAAAAAAAGTTTTCTTTTAAAATTAGTAAATACTATCATCACTAAAGCTATACAATATTAATGTTTATAAAATTTTAGAAAATTTAAAGGGATTGAAAATAAATATAGAGGGTTATGCAACCCAACAAACTTACTAACATAACCCGACAGCCGTACCAGTTTGACAACATGCCGAGTTTTGTATTATGCCCCTTACTTTATATGTAAACATATTTTGTTACATGTATTGATCTTCACATGGATTAAAAACAATAATTTGTTATGAAAATTATTTGAAATTTTGTGTCTTAATTGTTTTTTCAATTATTACCGGAAAACTGCTTGTCAGTTACCATGTTGTTTTTCCGTTCGTGTCCCTTTACCTTTTGGTATGGACAAAGTCCCTTTACCTTTAGGTATGGACAAAGGCAAATGTAATTAGATGTCACATTGTGTTCCAATTAACATGTTGCTGTTTCGATTTAGAAAAGTGTGTAAGATATATTCAATTTTAATGTATATGAAACAATTTGTTCCACCAGAAAGTGTTCATTTGGATATAAATCCAGCTTTACATGTATGACATAGAAAAAACAACCAACAGAATATGAAATAGGCAAACAGATGCAATTTATAAGATTTTTGTCACAACATTTGATTATTTATTATTTCAAAACTCGAATGTAACTAAAAAGATATGCTTACCGAGCCTTGACTAGCGTTCATATTTTGTTCTGTAATGTAGTAACATGAACTTGCTAAGTTATTCCAACCTTCTGTACAGCCTGTGTCGATTGAAATATAAAATATATTTAAATATCTTTGTAATATACTGATATTGAGATGTAGTGGGACATGATCTTACTCAAATCATATTTTGTAAAACTACTTTATTGGCCTGAAGTTAAACACTACTAAAGAAGACAGCAAGGCGATACAAAAGTCACAACAGAGGTCAAAGTTATTTACAGTCTAGCTCCTGGCGAGACTACTTTCGACGAGTCGTATATCGTAATTTACGTTCTGCGTTTGTTAAAAAAGTTAATAAAATGATTATAAGTATCTTTACTGTTTGTACTTCATTGTAAAGTTGTCTAAATACTGTTTGACATATCATCACATGTACTTACTTCAGATATTAGACACATATATCATTTTCTGCATCTGATATTTCGTAATTGAATTAAAAATATAGGTCTCTCATTTGAAATTGAAACAAGTCATTGTCTTAAATTTAAATTAACAGTAAGGATAACACACATTTGCCTATGAGAAATTAACATTTCAAAAATAGTGAGAGGTAATAATATGTATTAATTTACCTTAAATAGTTTAAGAACAGAAGACATTAAACTTACGCTGTTGCATATAGAATCTAAAACCTTCATCTGGTCCTGATGGTTGAGTAGAAATATCAAAACCGGCGGCACAGCCCGTGCATTTACCAGTATCCCGTGCATGAAATACACTTTTACAACCTGAGTCTTTTACACATTCAAACAAACAGACAGATGTATCGTAGATTTGTGTTTTATCAAACACGCTGTCCATATCCTTACATAATTTTCCATCAGCGTTTTCTTTCCGTTTAAACAGTAATTTAGTTTCACCGTTTGTCAAAGCAAAAATTGAGTAAAAATAAAAACCGGTGACAAAAATATGGTGACGCTTCATGTTCCGACAAAAAAAAACTGTCTAGAATAGAAATCCAAGTATCTATACTGGACTAAATATAAATTATTTTATTATAATTGATAAAGTAGCTTTATTTGTCTTTCGTTTAATTCTATAAAATAATTTTCATTTATATAATATAAAAAGTAATCTTACAGGTATGATGCGTTTATCACACTTACATACATTAACTTATATGTCCTTTCGTTGTTAATCTTTAAGGTGTGTAATAAAAAATAACTTCAAAGTATGTACTATATAATATTTTCCTCGAATGACATCTCGCTTTTATAACGAAGCAAAAAGCTCTGCGGCACTGTTGTTGTTTCTTTTTTATCTAATATTTGTGTCTTTAGAAATGAAACTCAACAATAACCTATACTATGAATAAATTATCAGATGGTGTCAGTAAATCATTTTCTGAAATCTATTTGAACTGCAATTATAAATCACAAAGGAGAAATCCATTAGTTCGTCGTGTTTTTTTTTTAATTGAATGACGTTTCAGTAATTAATTATACTATTGCCAATATATGTATAGCACAGGTACCTTTTGTTATACGTATTTGTCAAATTAAACGCTTGTTCTATTAAAAGTAAATCAAAATTAATACGACCTGGGTAATAATACCATGAAGACCATGCTAAGAAAACTTATACTTATATAATAAAATCTGGAAAGGAAGAAACCAGAACTATATAATCAGTATCTAAAGCAAAAGGATATCCCTCGTTTGCAATAAAGCAAGGGTTTTGGAAAGGAATAACTAATTTAGTGATTGTTGGCCGACTAACTCTTTTCTTTGGTGTAAACAAAGAGTTTCAACTTTACTGTTGTTTAGTGCCCTTGCACTTGTCATTTGGACTTTGTATTTGATTATTTGTAGCTGAACATTTCTCTATTTTCGCATAAATATGTATAATTTATGCATAAATATTTTTTTATACAGGGATTTACTTTGACATTTTAAGCTTTATCTGACTTAAATGTATGCAACTCAAATTATCAATTTCAAATAAATTGCTCTCACAATGAAGTTGAATTGATTAAATATTTATGACAACAATATTAACCTGAAAATGTCAAATGTTGTAAATCATAAATGTTTTGATATATCAAAAAAGTTGAAAATAATTTATATATATTTTTCACAATTAAGCCAGGGTTTTGCCTGAAGAGCAAAGTTGAACAATTTCCACACGCCATTTAAGGCGTGCAAAATGATCATTATTATGATAAGTTATTATGAATACATCTGAATTAATTATCTTACACTTTATCACAAAAAAATGTATTGCAAAGATTCGTACTACCTACATATGTTATTGCTCAATATGTAACTAATATCTTACAAAAGTCTTAGATATCAAAGAATCTCACATGTTTTATTTTATCTTATTGTTCATAAAATGTGCAATAACATGCACTTTTAAAGTCAAACGACTGTTCAAGATTTAACTGAAAATCTTTAGCTATTTATTCTTAGACAGGTAAAATGATTATTTTTAATATACAATTAACCAGTGTCTTCATTTTGCAAATATTAAAACAGTCACAACTCTTCCCATTTCAAATTGATAGAAAATATGTCTGGTTTCTTGTTATAGTTTCCAAAAAAAGGTCATTTGCCATAATTGTCTTTGCTCCCTTTGCTTTTTGGCAATTTGTATGATTATAGTAAATTAGTATTTTGTATGAAATTCAAAATACTAGTTTGTTAATATTTTGCTACATTTACGACACATAACTGCAGATTCAGCGCTCTTTTTTCTTATGTTGTTAAACATCTAACATGCTCTATAACTATTAAAAAAATATTATTAAACACATGTTTGATATTTCAAAAGAATTAAATAAATATGGATTTCTCTGGGACATAACGTGTCTTTTAAGGAACACAATTTAGGTTTTCTGACATGATGGGACTACTGGAAATACATATATTTCAAATTTTAATACCATTTGATGTAAGTATGTACAAATAAATTGGGTGCAAGTTTGCTTCTTTCAGTATCTGAAAGCATTTAAAATGGTAAGTTCAAAACATCTGAATTAAACAGGTTTTAGAATAAAGTTTGCAGGCCGGCTGCATCAAGCTTTCATTGTAATTTTTTTTAAAGTTCAGATAGCTTGATTTTGTATAAATACAGCGATGTGTATAATATTTTAAAGAAATCGAATTATATAAATGCAAGTATGAGTTTATTGGAATATATCAGATAATTAAATAACTGATTTAAGGTCGTTTTCCATTTTTTATAAAGCACGGCTTTTAAAATAAAAGATATGTTATTATACACCAAATAGCCTTACAAATCTGTAAACAATATTTAGGACCAGTGCACTTTCAAGGTAAAATGTTTAAAAGCTATTCGAGCGTTTTGAAATACTAGAACTCATTGTAACCTTTTTCTGTTGTTGAAATATAAAATCAACCAAGTATGATAACAAATATTAGTTGTGATTTTTTTTTCAAGTTAGCAAAACGGGCGACTTCATAAAAAAGACAACATATTGATTATTTAAAATTAAATTCGAAACAAAAAAGCACTTAAGTCTGTGAATCGTTTTGCATTGAAAAGGATTGATGAAATGAAATTCTTTTGTCTCGAAAATAATAAACATTTTATTACATAATTTCTCTATTCATAATTTTCTTTGTTAGTCATAAATGGTAAATTGTGACATCACTCAATATGATAAATTACAATAGCCCTTATAGTATAATGATATTGATTTGGTATTTGAACTGATATTTCAAAATCAAACAAGTAAAATATGTCGATTGTTCTCTCCATGACAAGCTGTTTTTTTATAATCTAACACTTCTTTTTCATTTGTTGATAATGACTTGTTTTCAGATGTGAGATAGCCAAATCAAAGCAATTTCATAGGTAAGTTGGAAAATCAAATAAAGCATGAATGAATGAATGAATGAAGAAATGAATGAATAAATGAATGATTGATTGATTGATTGATTGGATGAGTGAATGAATGCATGAATGAATTATTAAACTAATTAATTAATTAATTAATTAATTAATTAATAAGTGAATGAATGAATGATCTAACGAATAAATAAATAAATAAATAAACAAGCATATTAAAGAATACATGCCGTGTCTATACCAGACATTGAATAAATAAAGGGAATCATTATACATATGGCGATATTCCAGACATTGAATAAAGAACGAGAACCATTTATTCATTCGGTGATCGTTTTTCATTAACTATTGTCATTAAAGGTAAGACAGGTGCAGCATCAGAATGATACCAATTTTTAGGTTAATCAAATGGATGAAATAAATGCCTCGGATAACATTGTTGAACATGAATTGTGATGTAATAATAGGTTTCCTGTCATTCATTAATGCTTCAAAAGCACTTTCTATGTTGAGCTATATAAAGCTTTTGAGAGATTGTGAAAAACACGACTTTATTTGAATTTTAACAGAGCGAATGTGTTTTCGAGAAAAAGGCCCGTTAAGGATTTGCCTTTAGTGTCAAAGAAGCCAGCTGGCATATATTTGTACTGAGTTCGTGCGACTCAAAGAAGGAAAGAAAACTAAAACAGGATATATTCAAGATATATATTTATAAACAACTAAACACATCAATGGTCATGTGGCAACTGCCAAACATTAATTATCAAACCAATCAAATACCATAGCAATCAAACTGATACATGTTATAAATGTAATAATGCATTATTCTACTGACTTAAATATGTATTACTTACAAATATGTATTACTTACAAAATAATTTTGAAAGTTATACTACTTAACCTGACAAAGGTATATCCAATATGCATATTTACTGAGCAACTAAACACGTGAATGGTCATGTGGCAACTGCGTGATGCATGTATTTGTCACATGACCATCGGCGATCCAGTTACTGGTGACAGGTTAGTATGATTGCATTGTACATAGTTAATAGGAAAAGTAAACTGGATAACTAGAATTGAGATCATGTAGTAACCTGGATTGTAATTAATGAAATTGACTGACAGGTATATTAGAACGGTACATCATTCAATTTCAATGGTATCAAGGCCTTGTATGTTAGACCCTATTTCGTTTGATAACATTATGATATCATCAAGATAAATAGGTTGAGGTCAATCTTTGAAATGTTGCATGAGCAATTACCGTCAAAATTTGAGGATGCACCGATGGAAATCACTGGAGGTTGCGTAAGGATAAACATATACATGCATCTATCTCTAAAAAACCTTAATTTGTGTTATATGCAGATAGTAATTATTTTCGACCAAGATATAATCGCTTACGATTAGTAAGTT